ATTTATTTATTTATTTATTTTAGAAGATCTTTTATTTATTTAATTTGTTGAAATTACATTTGTACCCTGTGTCCCCCCCATTATCCCCCAACCTCCCTCCCCTTCTCCCCCCCACCCCCTTTGTAGCCCTAGGAATGTTCTCTCCCTCTGTAAGACCACCACACTGCTGTGGTCTTTCTTTCTTTCCTTTCTTTCACTCTTAGCTCCCACATATGAGTGAGGACATGTGGTATATATCCCTCTGTGCTTTGCTTATTTCACTCAACATAAGTTTCCCCAGGTTCATCCATGTTGTTGCAAATGGGAGTATTTCATTCTTTTTTATGGCAGAATAGTATTCCACATGTATATATAACACAGTAATCGAATGATATTTAAAGGAATACAACAGAATCCAGAAATCAACAATGTAAAATTTACAATGCCCAGCATCCAAGTAAAATTACCAAGCAGGCAGGGAAGTAGGAAGATATGGGCTATAACCAGATGCAAAACTGATCAGCAGAAACAAACCAAGAAATAATAGAGATGATGGAATTAACAAACAAGAACATTAAAACAGCTATTATGATCCATGGGTTCAAGAAGATAGGAAAATGTGACCAGGATGACGAGAGAAATGGAAGTTTTTAAAATTTAAGATACAAATGGAGTTTCTAGAAGTGAAAAATATACTATCTGAAATGAAAAAAAAAAAAACAGAAAACAACACACACACACAAGATGGCATTGATAACAGATTAGATTCTGAAGAAGGAAAGATTAGTGAATTTCAAGCTATAGCTTAAGAAACTATCCAAAATGAAACATACGCTTACCATATGACCCAGCAATCATACTGATGGGTATCCTCCCAAGAGAAACAAAACCACATTCACATGAAGATCTGATATTCATAGCTTTGTTCATAATAATAAAAAACTGGCAACAACCTACATTTCTATCGACTGATGAAGGGATAAATAAAACACAATATATCCATGCAATAGAATACTACTCAGCAATAAAAAAAATAAACTACTGATACTTGCAACATGGATAGATGTCAAAAACATTATGCTAATGACATTTATATAAAATTCTAGAAAAGGTAAAACTATAGTAATAGAAAGCAGACCAATGGTTACCCGGGGTGGAGAATGAGGGGGAGGGAATTGACTATAAAGGGCATAAGAGAAATTTTGGGGGTGATAGAAATGTTTTCATCGTAATTTAGAGATGATTATATGACCGTATATTTGTCAAAACTAGTGTGTATGTGGGGGGGGGAGGGGAGAAATATTGGTGTGGTTATAAAAGCACAACATGAGTGATCTTTGTAGTAATAGACCTCTTCAGTATCTGGCTGTGGTGATGGATACTCCCACCTACACATATGATAACATTGTGTAGACCTAAATACACCCATGCAAATGAGCACAAGGAAAACTGAATGAGATCAGTGGATGTTATCAATGTCACTATCCGGGTTGTGGTATTATTTTATAGTGTTATGATATGTTGCCCTTAGGGGAAACTGGGTAATGGGTACGTGGGGTTGCTCTGTAATGTTTCTTACAACTGCATGCGAATCTGCAGTGATCTCAATAAAAATTTCGATGAAAAACTAGTTAGGCTGTACAAATTAATTTCCTGAATTTTATTATATTTAAGTTATTCCTCAGTAATTTTTTAAAAGTTGTATATGACCCACTAAAATAAAGATATGTTTCTCTTATTACCTGCTCTTCATGTGAGCTTCAATAGGACTTCTGCTCCATTAATATGGAAAATTATAAATTAGGAATATTTTAAGGTTTTGAATTTTTTTTATTAACACATTGAAAATGATTGATGATTTGTTTGTGTTACCCAAAGATGACTAGAAAAGTTGTGGGACACACCTGAGATTTCATCCAAGGACTGGAGAAATAATAAACTGTACAGAAGCAATCTGAAGGAATAGTGGGGAGAAAGAATAAACTTATTTTCTACTTATGTCCTATTGAATTTGGCCTGTTCATCAAAACAGCTATGGTTTTTTACACTTTGGTAAGAGAAGATGCCCCGTAAAATTCCCACTTTTTTGAACTTTTTGGGTCTCCCTCATGGTCTAGTATACCCCAATGTAGTGGACATTTGTCCTTTTTTGGCTGTGCAGTATCTGACCCCCCTTTCTGTGTTTGGCATTGGTGCACCCCATTCCTGCCTTCCCAGCCTCCCTTGCTGCCAGGGCCTAGGCTTAACCAAGTTGATGCAGCTGTCTTGGACAGGGCTATTGATATAGAGAAGTAGGAGCCTTGAAAAATCCACTTCTGGGGCTGAACTCGTGGCTCACTCGGGAGAGTGCGGTGCTGGGAGCGCAGTGGCGCTGGGAGTGCCAAGGCCGCAGGTTCGGATCCTATATAGGGATGGCCGGTATGCTCACTGGCTGAGCTCGGTGCGGACGACACCAAGCCAAGGGTTACGATCCCCTTACTGGTCACAAAAAAAAAAAAAAAATATTGGTGCACCCCATTCCTGCCTTCCCAGCCTCCCTTGCTGCCAGGGCCTAGGCTTAACCAAGTTGATGCAGCTGTCTTGGACAGGGCTATTGATATAGAGAAGTAGGAGCCTTGAAAAATCCACTTCTGGGGCTGAACTCGTGGCTCACTCGGGAGAGTGCGGTGCTGGGAGCGCAGTGGCGCTGGGAGTGCCAAGGCCGCAGGTTCGGATCCTATATAGGGATGGCCGGTATGCTCACTGGCTGAGCTCGGTGCGGACGACACCAAGCCAAGGGTTACGATCCCCTTACTGGTCACAAAAAAAAAAAAAAAATCCACTTCTGGCCGTGAACCGTGGCAACACTGAATTTCCAGGGCCAGGAGGACCAGCAGCAGCAGCCAAGGCCTAAGGCCAGCTGTGCAGGTGGCACATTCGGGGTTCAGTGGTGGGGTCTTCAATGAACTGGTTTTGTGGCTGAAATCCTGGCTGTTCCTTAGTCTTCCTTTTCCTTGCCTGTTTTCCAATCATTATTGAAATTCTTCGTGATGATGTCAGGGGGTGAGACAGACCATAAACATGAACAATCAATAAATTAACAGCACATTCAAAAGTGAGAAAAGCTACAAGGCAAAATAAGACCAAGTAAGGAAAACAGGGAGTGCCAGGGAGCTGAGGTAGGGTGGTCTGGGACTCATGGAGAAGTGATATTGAGCACACACTCAAAGGAGGTGAGGAAGTGGGCCATGTGGATACCTGGGGGCCTGCAGAAGCAAAAGCCCTGAGATGGGAGTGCCCGGAGGGCTCAAAGAACAGTGGCGACACCAGCGTGGTTAGAGTAGAGTGAGTCAAGGGGAGAGAAGTGGGAGAGAAGGTCAGGGAGGTAACAGGGAGCCAGGGTAACTAGAGACTGTGACTTTTACTCTGAGTGAATTGACAAGCCATGGAGGGTTTTGAGCAAAACGTTATGTTTTAAAAGGCTCACTCTGGGTACCTGCGTCTGAGGCTGCAGGCAGACTAGGATAGGAGTAGGAAGACTAGATCATAGGCTGTGATGATATTCCGAGCAAGAGAAGGTGGTGGCTTGGACTTGGGTGGTAGCAATGAAGGGGGTGAGAAGTGATGGGATCTGGGATGCGTTGAAAGAAGAGCCAACAGGATTTGCTGTGAGGAGTCCAAGTTTGGTCCAAGGTCTTTGACCTGAACCACTGGAAGATGCAGTTGCCATTTACTGAGAGGAAGGACTGTATGTAGCATGGTTTGGGGGATGATCAGGAGGTCAGTTGTTTGGGACAACTCTTAGTGCTATGGACTGAATTGTATCCCCCAACCCCAAAATTCATATGTTGAATCCCTAATTGCCAATGTGATTTTATTTGGAGGTAGGGCTTTTAGGATGTAATCAGGATTAGATGAGGTCATGAAGGTGGAGCCCTCATGATGGTTTTAGTACCCTTATAAAAAGAGACACCAGACAGCTTGTTCTTTCTCTCTCCCCACCACGTGAGGACACAGTGAGAAGGCAGCCTTCTGCAAGCCAGGAAAAGAGCCCTCACCAGAATCTGACCATGCCGACACCCTGATCTCAGACTTCCAGCCTCCAGAACTGTGAAAAATAAATTTCTGTTGTTAAGCCACACCGTCTATGGTATTTTGTTATGGCAGCCCCAAATGACTAATACTAGATATCCAAGCAGAGATGTTGAGTTGGCAGCTGGAAAGCCAAGCCTGGATTCAAGGGGAAAATTTGGGTGTGGATGTAAATTGGGGAATCACTAGCAATTAGATGGTATTAAAGCCATGAAACAGGAGGTCCTCTAAGTGTGGCTGGTGAAGAGAAACTGTCCAAGGACTGAGCTCTGAAGCACTTCAACTGTAACAAGGGGGGAAAGAGGAGAAACCAAAAAAGACTGAGAAGAAGCATCCACTAGGCAGGGAGAGCTGAAGAGAGTGGTTTTCCGGAGTCCAGATGGAGAAAGAGGAGGGAACGTGCAATTGTGTCAAATACTGTCAAGGAGTCATGGAAGGTGAAGAATTTACCACAAGCCTTCCAAGAGTGAAGGCTATTGGTCAGGTCACATCCTCCCCAGCTCTTACTGTGGTCAGGCTTTCCCCCCTAATCTGGTGGATGTGAGAGGGATATCATTATTGCTCTAATCTCCCCCTGAGATTTACACAGCTGTTCTCTTTGAGATTCCCAGCATGAATTAAGTAGGAAGATAGTGTTTGGAGGCTGGGCACTGAAGGTTTGGCCACCCCAAAAAACAGCCCATGCTAGTCTGGGTATTTTTTTTTTTAAGTTTCAAATGTACTTTATTTCTTCAATAGTGCCATATTTAAATGAGTACACAGTGCTTTCACTTGGCATCAGTTATGAGTTGGTTTTAAAACAATTCAGTATTACACCAGCTGGGATGATTACTGGTCTCTCAAATCCTTTGGGATGACTATGCCATATTTAAATGAGTACACAGTGCTTTCACTTGGCATCAGTTATGAGTTGGTTTTGAAACAATTCAGTATTACACCAGCTGGGATGATTACTGGTCTCTCAAATCCTTTGGGATGACTCTGCCAGCAGGGGACAGGTTCCATTGCATTCCAATGTGTGTTGCTGTATATGTCCACACAGCAATACAGAAAGTGGCTCCACTAGCTAATACAGTGTCACCATATTTGTCATGGAAATCAGGTGTACATTTCTGGTGGCTCTGCCTTGCCATTGTTTGCTGAATGCTTCGAATTTGGGGATGACTTAGTGCATTTTGGGCCAATGGAAATATCAAGAATCTGAAGATAGAAATGAGGCAACTGCAGCTGCTGGTTTGGTGCAAACTTGCTTCAGGTGCCCCGGCAAGGAGTCCTGAAAAACCTCACTAGTCGTGTTTGACTGTAGGTTTGTCCAGGGTCCGAGAGCAGAAGAGGTATGAAGGGGCTTCCTATCTAGGTAATTCTGTGATTCATGAGATGAACTTGAGAAGGTTTTTCTCAACCTGCTTTACCTGTCTTATATCAGTGGAGTGTCCTCTCAGATTTGGGGAGTAAGTTTTCTGTCCACCTTAGTCTACCATGCGTTTGTGAGAGATGCTGTGTCCTCCCCATCACTGCATCAGTGACAATATGGGCTGGGAAGGGGGGCTACTAACCAAGTGCCATTTTAAACCAGAAATCTCAATATTAAAAATATCGACATTAACATTAAAAAGTCAAAACCACCTTTCTGCAAATTACTTTGTGTCCGGGACATAGGCTTTGCAGATTTGGGGCTTACCAGCCTCTGTAAACAAGGGCCAATTTCATACAATAAATCTCTAGATAGATAGATCAATGGATAGATAGATAGGGATCTCCTATAGGTTTTGTTTCTCTGGAGAAGCCTGACTAGCGAAATGAGGATAACAGAAAGGACCCAGAACATTGCCCACAAGGCACTGCAAAGTGGCCTGAGTGTTTCAGGACTCCTGACCCACCTGCTGAGATGCCTGGCACTGGGGATATACCCTGGCCTCTGTGCATTTTCCTATCCCATCAGCAAGAGGTTGGACTGGATGGTCCTTGAGAGCTCTTTCAATTCTGATATTCCAGGTGTCCTGAGATGGTGAATTACTGAGAAGTGAACAGAACCAAGCCTCCATGCCATTTTCCACCTACCACATTGGCAATGGGCAATGTCCACTCCGACCCTTATCCCTCAAACAAAGATACCAGTGGATGTTTGCAAGGACTTGGGGAAATAGGCAAGACAAGACATTCTAAGCAGAGGGCATGAGCAAAGTCACGGTGGTGAGAAATTGCTCGTTGTATATTCAGGGGAGGGAGTGGCTTGGGGTGACAGGCTGTCTAAAAGGAAAATTTTAATACATGTGCAGCCCTTTGTGTTTTCGGAAGCCCTTTCACACCCTTCTCATAACCATGGATCAATATTTTTATGCTTATTTTACAGAAAAGGAAACTGAGGCTCAGAGGACAGAAGCTACTTCTTTAGGGTCACACAGCTGGAAAACAGCAGGGCTGAGATTTGAAGCCAAGTCTATCTGTGCTCTTCCCAGCACCACAGAGCCTTAGAGGCTCTATGACCGAGCATATCTAGTCACATATTTTGCATTATCCTAATGACAAATGAGTGTGATTCATTAGACCAGCCATACAGTCATTCTGATTCCACTGTCAAAGTGGGGGAAAAACAAATCAATCATTGCTTGATCCAAGGTGTTTTTATTTTGGTTCCAGGAGTGCCTGGAGAGGAGATGTATTTTGATTTTAACAGCCCGCCTGCTTGTGCACGAGGTGAAGGGGAGATTATAACTTTATTCTCGCTTGGGGGCAACTGGTTATGTCTGGAAACATTTGAACATCCCATAAAGCTCATTTCTTTTGCAAATGAGTCAGATAACACAGAACACTTCAAAGTTAAATTCCGTTGGGCTTTCCATCTGGCTGGCCTCTGGGGGAATGCCTCGCGCACTGCCTTTGTTAATCAGGTTCTGGGAGTTAGAATTTTATGCTGAAATACAAATAACTGTGCATTCGTGGGGAACAAAGCCAAGATATGATCTCAGCTGCATTTGGACTGAAATTCCCCATCTCCTGCTAATGCTCTCCACCTTCCACACGGACAGCAACAAACACTTTCTTGCTCCAAGCAGCTGCGTTCTTTCACCCCCTCCACCTAGGCAGGCAGGCGTGGCGAGACATGGCCTGTCACCCTGTCTCTGCTTGTTGTGTGCTCTCAGATAGGACTCTGGTCTGCGTGAGCCTCACTGCTCTGTATGTACGTCTAGAGGGGAACACAGTTCCTTGGGGAGTCCTGTGGAGTGGCTTGCTCCAATCTACCCTCCTCCTAGGGTGGAGAGGTTGGACAGCTTAAGATCATCTTTCCCAGATGCCCTTGAAGCCAGAGTCCTGGATGTGAAGTAGGTGCCATCCAATGGGTATGCTTGTGTGAGTTCTGGAAGTCAGAAGTGAGGAAGGCCCATTCCCCCAGCCCTGCTTCCTCTGGTGAGCAAGGTCACAGAAACATGAGGTTTCACTGCCTGCGTTCCTGTGCATTCTCCGCTTTCATAGGATCCAGAGCCTTTTGCAACAGCAGTGGCAGCAGCAGCACCAGCAGCAGTTCCAGCTTTTCTATTCACGCAGCGCCCAGTGGTGTTCTCAGAGGCAGGAGCAACCCCAGGGGTCAGCTCTGTGTTGTCCTGAGAGCTCTTCCGTCACACCCCAGCTCTGGTTAAATCCCTTCCTGCCGAAGGAGCCTAGGTGGTTTGTGTTCCCAGCACGGAACTTGCTTGATATACATCTAAACTGTCTTTGATAAGAAATTTAGTCCCTTCCTATGGATTTCTCAAGATTTTTGTATCTTGAGATGTCTGGGGCAAGGACAGGGAATTTACATGTCCTGGCGAAGGAGCCTAGGTGGTTTGTGTTCCCAGCACGGAACTTGCTTGATATACATCTAAACTGTCTTTGATAAGAAATTTAGTCCCTTCCTATGGGTTTCTCAAGATTTTTGTATCTTGAGATGTCTGGGGCAAGGACAGGGAATTTACATGTCCTGGCTTTTGCCTGCCATCTCTTGTTCCGAAGTTCCATAATAGCTTCCATTCAGCCACCTCGGGTTACCTTTTCACCATGTGTATTGTCAGGGTTCTCCTGAGAAACAGAACCAATACAGTGTGTGTGTGTAGAAAGAGAGAGATTTATTCCAGGGAACTGGCCCACACACTTGTGTCCCCTCCCCTCCCCTCCACCTCCCCACCTCTCTGGAAGCACTTGCCCCCAGCCTGGGCACTGCCCTTTCTTGGCTGAAGCCAGCCGCCTCTGCTCAGGCCCCTCAGGACTGTCCCTGGCAGCTCCCTTCTAGCTCCCATTGGCTGAGGTTTCTTCCTCTCTTGCAGTGGGTGCAGGAGTCTGGGCACTCACATCCCTGGCTGGGGAGCAAGGGAGGGTCAGGCTGTCTGTGGGATGTGGCTCCAGGAGAGGGCCCACCTGGCTAAGGGCCAGAGTCCCGTGGGTATGCCATCAGGGATGGACCCCTAGGCTGGGCTGGGCAAAGGGGTGCTCCACTCACTTCTCTTGCAGTCCTATGCTCACTCTAGTCCTAGTCTTAGTAGCTCTCAAGGCAGCACGTTGACCTACAGTTGGTGTTGACTGGCTAATGCTGTTGGTAGACATGTGGGGAGGAGCTGGGCCTCCCTCCCTCCTGTGCACTTGGCTCAGCGCCCTCAACACGGACATCCTGAGGGAAGCAAGGACCCTGTTTCTGCCTGCAGCACCCTGGGGATTTCCCCAAGTGTCACCTGCCTGCCGCCACCACCCACAGTTAGGTTTGGTCTCCAGGGGCAGCTCCTTTCCTGCAGGTCTGGCTTCTGATGCTGCTCAGCCACTGGTCATCAAAGCTCTCAGAGATGGAATGGACAGTGAGCAGAGGCCTGGACTTCCTGTGCCTTCTCCACGAGAAGCCAGGTGCTGGGGCTAATGGGCACAGGAGGTGGACAGACCTGGTTTCAGATCCTGGCTGTAGCACTTGGAATGTGTGTTGGTTACACTCTGGGCCTCAGCCACCTGCTCTGACAGTAGTTAGCCAGCCCCTACCCAACAAGACTGTTCCATGGCTGTAATGAGAGGGGCTGTAAAGAGGACTCTGTTGTGCACGTGCATGTCCTGCACCCGCAGAAGAGCCGGGGATGGAGCAGCAAGCACCAGCACCAGGACAGAGTGAGAGAAGCCCATGAAAGCTGCGTGTATCGTCTGGCATACAGCAGGTGCTCAACACTGAATGGGCAGAGGCTGGGAGGCAGAGAGAACCACACCAGGCACCCTGTTCCCTGCCTCCCAGGCCAGGGCTCGTTCCTCTGCCCGGCCCTGTGTGCCTTGCCAATGTTAGCATTTGCCAAATAGTTGACTATGGAAATCACCTCGGATGTGCATTTGATCCAAGATATGTGGCATTCCCCGTACCCATGACAAGTATCTTCTTGGTCCATTTCTTGGCCCAAGGATGCTCTTTATTCCTTAGCTCCCGCTTCATGGTGTGAGGTTCTAGACCCGTGCAGAAAGCACCAACCGCGGGGTCTCCCTCCGTGAGCTCTGTGCTGCTTCAGCCCGGGAGTGCCTTGAGGCTTGAGAGGAAGCCCCAGGAGAGCACGCAGTGGGCAGGGAGAGGCGCAGGCCAGGCCAGACCCTGGGCTTCCACTTCGCTTTGCCTCTGCTCAGCTGTGAGACCTCAGGCAAGTCACAACTCAAGCCTCAGTCTCCCATCTGCCACCGGAGAGGTCTCAAATGCTAGCCTCGGAGGCATTTGGTACCCTCACCTCCTGGGCACAAATAAAGAGAAAACTCACCCAAGGCCTCAGAGTCCCTCTTACATTTGTGCGTGCACACTGAGCTTATTGAAACGCTGGCCATGTCATAGCTCTCCTTAGCATGGCCTTTGTCTCCCTGTCCCTTCATTAGTCACAGCCACTTGGCATGCTCGGTCCAAACTGCCTCACGAAAGCCTAATGCCCAGGACCGAGGAGGTGTAGTTGAGCAGAAACTCTGTGAAAGCCCGAGGACGTGACTCTGTCATGGACACACACCATTCTCAGAGCTTGAGTCTGTGACTCCTGGCTCCCTGAACTGTTAGTCTGAACATTTACGTATCCATGCCAAAGCATCTTTCCCTTTTCCAGCTGTGCTACAACATGAATTCAGAGCTTCTGGCCATCCCCACACACCTTAAGCTTCAGAGACACTATTAAGCTACTTTGTAATTAGAAATAATAAAACCTGCAGATGCATTTTAACATAACCCACAAAAGGAACCATGTGCATTTCTTGGATCCTCAGCATCAAAACAAATAACTCTTCCCGCGGTGCCTAGATCCACTGGTTTCACTCTCCAACAGCTGCTCTGATATATGAGGAGCATGCCAGCAGGCAGAAGGTCAGAGATGAGCTGAATGACAAAAGGATCCAACATGGGGAGGGGTAATCAGAGGTCCCCAGCAGCTGGCTGAATTGTCTGGCTCTACAGCTGTGGGGAAATTGGGAGAAAGAAGGAGACGTCTCCTTTCAAACCTGGGCAGTGGACTTTCTCGGCCCTGACATGATCTTTTTGTTTTTTCACAATCAGCTTGCCAGAGTGTGGAACTGGGCAGTGAGTTTAGACTTATCTGGTCCAACTTCCTTATTTTAGAAACTGAGGCTCAGAGTGAGAGAGAGACTTGGCTTCCAACAGCTGAGCCCAGGGTAATTGAGAAACAAATAATGCAATGACCATCTGCCCACCCCAGTGCTCTCTCACGACAGCACCCAGCTCTAGCTTTTGATGGAGGGAAGACCCAGAGCAATGGCGTCATTTGCCCAGTGGCGTCATGATTCTGATGAGCTCCACCAAGGAAATCAAAGGGCTGTTTCAGCAACATTTTGGCCCCTTCCTTCCTTCCTTCCTCCCTACCCTCCATCCCTCTGTCCCTCCTTCCCTCCTTCTTTCTTTTCTTTTTTTCGTCATGATTCTGATGAGCTCCACCAAGGAAATCAAAGGGCTGTTTCAGCAACATTTTGGCCCCTTCCTTCCCTCCTTCCTCCCTACCCTCCATCCCTCTGTCCCTCCTTCCCTCCTTCTTTCTTTTCTTTTTTTCTCTTTATTTGAAAAAACATATTAACACATTTCAAAAATATACATGCTCAAGAATTGCCTAAGACATCTCGACCTTTTAAAAAGTTATTACAAGGGCTGGCTGGTTAGCTCAGTTGGTTAGACTGCAGCTTTATAACCTCAAGGTCATGGGTTCTGATCCCCATACTAGCGAGCTGCCAAACAAATAAAAAGTTATTACAATTTCAATAAATAGGATGTATTTTAAAAAATGTAAAAATGAGATTCCATTTAGTTAAGATCAGTAACTTGTTAAATAGCCTTTAAGGTCAGCTCTGTATCACATTTTTATCCAAGATAAACTTCTAAGAGTTTAGTTATATTATTTCCATGTGGTTCTCCTTAATTACGTACATTTGATGCTTTCTAAAGTCTTCATTGGCCGGCCTGGTGGCGCACTGGATAGTGCGCCGCTTGGGAGGCGCAGCGGCGCTCCCGCCCGAGGGTTCGGATCCCACATACAGACCGGCTCCCGCTCACTGGCTGAGCGAGACGCGGGAGCAACGCTGAGGGTTGCAATCCCGTTGCCGGTCCCCGGTCCGGTGCGGGGGCGACACTGGGGGTTGCGATCCGTTGCCGGACACGGAAAAAGACAAAGGACAAAAAAATAAAAAATAAAAAATAAATAAAGTCTTCATAAATATCACTGAACATATTTGTCCCTTTTTGTGGTCTCAGAGTAGCCCATATTCAGCACACATTTAGCAAACACAGACTGTGTGCCAGGCCTTATACAGGTCATCAGGTGGGAAGCTATGGAGGTGAATAAGGCCTGGCCACCACCTCCAAGAGGCTCCCAAGCTACCAGGTACAGGGACACGTGATCAAAGGGAGGGAGCAGGTATGCCAGGCACTGTGAACCGTTAAGAGGGTGAGGGGGTGCAGGCAGAGGCAGGTCAATTGCACTGGCAGGAGCAGGAGCAAGGCGAGCAGCAGGGTCAGAGATCCTTACGGGACGTTGGCCTGGATCTTAAGTAGGAGTTGGAACAGGGTGGCCCAGGCAGAAGGAGCAAAACAATGGGGGCTCAGTGGTGTTGACAAAGTCACACGTTTGGGAAACAGCATGTGTTTCCTTCATGGGACTGGAGCGTAAGGCACAGTGACAGGGATGGGAATGAGGAGTGGGGAAAATGAGACACTGATGTCACCCAACTAACTGGATTCCAGGCCTCAGCCTCCCTGGCCATTCTGCTTTGCTAGAAAATCAAAAAGTGCTGATCAACCTGTACCTTTTTCCCCCTGTGATCTACACCCACAGGGGCCTCCAAGGAGCAGACTGTTAGAGAGTCAGTACTAAACCCCTGACCAACCTGGCAGACCTAGCACCAACGCCCAGGCCCCCAGCCGATGGGCACAGCCCCGCTCTTCCCCAGGCTTCAGTGATCCCATCTGAATAGTGCCAGGCTGGACCAGCCTCCTCTAAAACCCCTCAGCTCCAACAGTCTCAGCTCCAGCTTTCCCTTCTTCCAGGCCAGTGGGAGCGTGTCTCACCAGCTTTCTCCTCTGTGACCATCTGAGAAAACTCTGTGCTTTTTGAAGGATTACTTACTTGATTAAGTCAGGGCCACCCAGAATAATCTCCCTCTTGCCATCTAACATAACATAATCACAGGGGTGATATCATATTCACAGTTTCCACCCACACTCCAAGGGGAGAGGATTATATAAAAATGAGGGTCATTGTTGAAGTCTGGCTACCACAGTGATGATTTCAACTAAAAGAAATCCATTACAAAAACTGAAAGATCATCAAAGAATTGGAATGGGCTGATGGAGTTTATGAGGGTGCCAAGACCCTCCTCTACAG